TTCCCCAGCCAGCATAGCTGGCTGGGGAATTCTGGGAGTTGAAGTCCACACGGGCTGGGGAATTCTGGGAGTTGAAGTCCACATGCTGGCTGGGGAATTCTGGGAGTTGAAGTCCACACGGGCTGGGGAATTCTGGGAGTTGAAGTCCACATGCTGGCTGGGGAATTCTGGGAGATGAAGTCCACGCTTCTTAAAGGGATCAGGTTGGAGCAACACTGCTCTGGAAGATAGTTAGCATAGTCTGTTGTACAAAATAAATACAACAAAATTGGTTAGTTGGTAACGCTTGACAGTCTGTGATGAAGTTAATAATTTGCTCCTTCGGGGAAATTAAGCTTTTTCTCCCTCTTCCCATCCCCTTGTCACCCGCAGAGTGAATGTGGGCTGTGGTCCTGCAGAGGAGCGAATTCTGCTAACGGGACTTCATGCTGTGGCTGATATTTACTGTGAAAACTGCAAAACCACGCTTGGTTGGAAATATGTGAGTAGTGATGGGTTGATTCTTACTCTGATATCAAGGACTGAACATATTTTTCCCCCCTGGAAACCCCGGCTTTCAACCTGCAGGGAGTCGGTGCAGGTAGTCCTCAAGTTATAACCACAATTGAGTCCATAATTTATCCCATTTCCCCCAAAATAAAATCTCCCCGGATAATAAGCCCAATCGGCGCTGAATGGCAGATGGCAACTGGCTCATATTTATGACGGTTGCAGCGTCCTGGGGTCGTGTGATTCACTTTTGCGACCTTCTGACGAGCAAAGTCAATGGGGATGCCTGATTCACTTAACAACCGAGGGTTACAAACTTATCCGTGATTCGTTTAACAACTGTGGCAAGAAAAGTCGTATACTGGGGCAAAGGCACTTAGCAAATGTTTCACTTAGCCACATCAATGCTTTTGAGCGCATGCGCTAAAATAAGCCCTCCCCTGAAAATAAGCCCTCCCTGAAAATATTTAAACATATGCGCAGCCGGTCCCCGCCACTTCCTGGGAGGCGGAAGGGGGGGGCATGCCCCACGCACAATGGTGGGTTCCGGATTCCGTTACAACCCGTATGGTTGAAACGGGCCCGGCGGCATCCACATGGATGTGCGCAATGCACACATGCGTCTTAGTGCCTCCGTGAGCCTCCGCAACGATCCAGGTGCTCAGCGGAGTGTTGCGCAGGCGCTGAAGACTTAGAAGACCAGTAAGGAGCTTCGGGCGGGCAGGTGGGCCCTCCGGAGAACCGTACCAGAACAGTATCCGGTGTTCCTGGCACGCCGTACCGGTGCATACCTCCTGCAACCCACCACTGCCCACGCACCACACAAGCACCTGCCATCCACGCGGAACAGAGACAGAACTTCCGCCCATCTCTGGATCAGCTGATCCGCGGCGCATGGGCTGAGGTTAAGGGGCCTCCTGCACCTCAAAAATAATAAGGCCTCCCCAAAAATAAGGCCAAGCGCTTATTTCCGGGGTCAAAAGAAAATAAGACCCTCTCCTGTTTTGGGGAAAACACGGGTAGGTTGCTAAGTGAAAATTTCGTTAAGTGAATCCTTGCAATTGTTAAGGTAGTAACACGNTGATAAATAAATAAAGGGAGACTAGTATAGATCTATTTCAAGCTATTTAGCTCTCATCAGCTAGCCATACCCTTACTGGGATTTGAACCTGGGCTATATATTGCTATATATATATATAATATTTATGTCTCTATTACTTTCTGAATATATGTGTAAGATTTTATAGGTGGCATTTGCCACCAGCAAGATTGGTGAAAATGTTCAAGGTTAAATCGGCTAAATGTTAGAAATGCCACCAGGCACCTGACACATACTATGATATGTAGTGGACACGTGTAGAAGTGAGAAAATATTGGTCTAAAATACATACGTGGCTGGAAAGGATGATACAACAACATAAAGACTTCAAACCTGAAATATTCCTGTTTGGGGACTTTACCAGAAACGTATAGTAAAGAAAACGTATGTTTGATTATTATTCATGTTATAACTGGCTTTTTTGTTGTTGTCGTTGTTTCAAAGGAACATGCTTTTGAGAGCAGTCAGAAATATAAAGAAGGCAAATACATCATTGAATTAGCTCATATGATCAAAGATAACGGCTGGGATTGAACCGCCGCCGGAAAGAATGACGACTGATCCACGCGAGGGTTCACTCTTCCGACTGGACATTTAATCTCCGAGAACGAGCGAGCGATCGGCACTCGCTGGGTTCCACACATCCGGCGGCTTCGTCGTCGTCCTGAGACACGCTTCCTCGCACACCCCTCTCTGCCATCCTGAACCGGCGACCGGCCGACAACCCCGCCCCCCCTCCCGTGTCTCTTCGCTTTCCGTATCCGTTTGCGAGTCCAGCCTCGAGTTAGCGCCTTCTGGTCTTCCTCTTTCACCGTTCTGGCATTGTGTCGCGTGGTGTTTCTTCTTATTTCTGGTTTTTTTTTTTTAAACGACAACAAAAATCAAGGGATGAGCCCAATGCCAAACCGTTGACTCAGTAGAAACGGATGGTTGCCTTTTGGGGAGGGGAGGGGGCTGAAGTCAAGGTTTATGACTCCTGGGGGGGGGGAAATCAGTGATTTGGGGTGTGGGGCAGATGAGAGGGAATGGGTCGGAGTTTCGCTCGACCCCCTTGTCCTTTTAAATCCTGACAAACCATGGCTTGAAACTCGCGGGACTGTACAAATAATATATATACCTCATGCCTGTCTTTTTCTCTGCGTCTCAAAAGAAAGCAAAATATTGTACGCCTCCTAATTTTAGGCTAGCTAGTTCTAGTATTCTCCAAGCAGCTACCTGGGATACTCCTTGGATCTGAGGTGGCTTTTCTTGATCTCGTCTTTTACGCTGAGCTTGTTGAAAAGGAAGAGGGAAATATCGATTGAAAAGGGATGTTTTTAACATCCTTTGGTTTCTAGAGAATTAGCCCAATCCCAAAACTCTGCAGAGATAAGCCTGATTATCTCGGGGTCGTTGTTGTCATTGTTGTTTCGGACTGTCATCTAGCTTCACGCCCTTGAGGTTCCTCAAGGATGCACAGATTGTGTCAAAAGCAAAAAAAGGAGAAAGAGGGATGCAGGAGTCACTCGATGCCTAATTACAGGTGTCCTAGCAACGCCAGCTGTGGGGTGTGTACATGTTGATGTTGGAGACCCAAAGCTTAATGTTCTTGTCTTGTCGGTTTTTTTAGAACGTCTCCTCACCCAGGAGCAGGTTTTGGCCATGACATTGTGCGAAGGAAATATTTCAGAGCCTTGGAGGTGTTCAAATTTGGGTCAACCAGGAGGACCTGTGGACCATCAGTTGGTGATTCCATCCATTCCTTCATTTCTGTTTTGGGAAGATCGTTCCTTCTTCCTGCATCCCAGCCACCACCTTTCTCCTCCAGAAGTTTAGCGCTGGTGGTTTAGGGTCTCTGGACTTCCTACTTTGTTGAGGGTCTTCCTTGCGAATGACAATAATAAGTTGGGTGGGGTCAACAACATTGAATCCAAAAGAGGTGGTCGCTTCTGCTAAAGAGCAGGAATCACCAGGCTTAACCGGAAATTCCTTTTTGTTTCTCTGTGTTGAGAAAAATAAATAGAATAAGTAACTTTATAAGAGGGAGCAGGGCATCCATTCCTGTTGCTAGCATCTCCATCTTCTCTTAACACCACCACAACCCCGCCCGCTTTGATGATCTGAAGAGGACTTGGACATAAGGTTGAGCATTTTCTTCCTTTGTTGGATCGGATCTTTTGAGGTGCAGAAGCTTGTCTGAAGGCGATCCCGTTTATTCTCAGGTTGCAAAGCTGGGGGGGGGAATCCTCCCCTGACGTGTATTATCACCGGGTGGCTTAAAAGGCATCCTTGCCCCACTGACCTAGCTAAGGATTTAATTGTCCCTCCAGCTTTTGCAGGAGATAAATCTGGATGAACTAAGTCTGCAAACGGGCTTATCTAGGGGACAGCGTTCTTGGAAGGCACTCCTTTCGGGTTCAAGGAGAGCCTTGAGGTCAAATGGGAGGCTGAAGGACCTTGGAAAAAATTTCTAGGGCTGTGTCTCTGTCCTCCCCCTCCCTCCAAAGCCCTCCAATTCCTCTCCGTTGCATTTTATAGGATCGGTCTACAAGGGTGTGAAATTTTTCCGCCCTTCGACCTGACACGTCATACAGGTCTAGTTCGAATGGCATTGAGTTTAACCTCATTTTGGTTATTATATTTCTCCCCGCTCCTGCTTTTTACTTTCATTCAATTTCGTTTGGGTAAGGGGTGGAAATTGTTCTGTGTGTGGTCCTCTGTAGGACACAAAGCAGCCCATAGAGAAACATTCCATAATTGGCAAGAGATAAAGTAGGGTCTTAGCAAATGGATTTTTTTTTAATGTCCTGGTGTCTTTTTGGACCTTTGGGGAGGGGGCTTGTGGGGGGAGAGAGATAATTTCCAAGTCAGCAGAATAATTGGGAGAGCAGGAAGCTGAATTGGATTGTACCATCGAGAGAGACAGGGAGGGGACAAAAGCTTTATTTTCACTTTAAATTTTTCAGGAACTTAGTTATGTGCTGGTGTTAAGACTGACCCGTGTTCCCACAATATTAACATTATGTGCCACACCAAAGGAAGACTTGTTTGGAACTTCTGGATGGGAGATTTAGGAAGAAGGGGTAGATTATTTAACCATGAATCCCTACATCAGTGTTCCTCAAACTTGGTACTCTTTAAGACCTGTGGACTTCAATTCCCAGAATTCCCCAGCCAGCATGTAGAATTCTGGGAGTTGAAGTCCACACATCTTCAAATAGCCAAGGTTGGAAAACACTGATTTAAAGCATGGAACTTCAAGGAGGTTTCTAGTCCACATTACTGTCAGAGAAGGAATATGGAAACAATAATCGAGAATATGGTACAGTAGATGGTCTAAAATTAAGGAGTTATGGGTTCAAACAGATATAAGACTCATGGTGTGACTTTGAACAATTTGCTAACTTTTAGCCAGTCCTATTTTCCAAGAGGGGCAAAAAGAATATCTGCCTGCAATCCTGGACTCCCTGCAAAATTATAATAATTTTAAAAAACAAATGCAAGTTTAGGTCCCAAGAGGCATTCCTGATTAAAATTTGAGAAACAGAATATATAGAAGATCTAATCTGTCACAACTTCGGTAGGAATTAGACAGGAACAGAGACTGAATTGTTTCCAAGGACGTTATCAGCTGGCCACAGCTGGGCCTAACTACAGATAACACTAAACTAGCATGAAATATCACCACGGTTTTGCATCTCAGAGCCTGGGGCTACAAAACAGCTTTAATTCCAGCAAAATCCAGAATCCCCACGGCTCATGATCAAATGTTCAAGAAACGTATTGCAGGAAAATATACCCAGATTGCAGAATCGCCACGCAGGTCCCTTTGGTCGTTGTGATTTTGGGGCAGTGGGAAACCAACACCTCAAGCACAGTTGTGTTTTGGGGTAGACACCAGTAGTATCACAGCCTAGCTCTTAACCTCAATTCTTGATCTTTCTGATCTGGAAGGTACAAGAATTTCTCAGTTTCTGCAGCTTTAAGATGGGTGGACTTCCAACTCCCAGAACTGGGAGCTGGGAAATCCTTGGGCGTTGAAGTCCACCCATCTTCAAGTCGCCAAGTTTGAGAAACGCACAAAAGTTGCTGAGATCCTGTGAAATCCTGGGATAGAGGACCATCCTTAAAAATTGTAGCATCCTTCAGCTTCTGACATGGTGAGGTGGACTTCCTATCTACGACTGTGATTTTGACGCACTGTGTCCGGTTGTGTTTTGAAAGGCCGATTTGGGTCGAGTGGAGGTTGCTTATTTATTTGAGGAAAAGGTGAGATTTCTTCACCGGGATCATGTTTGCATCAGCCTCCAAAAAATGGTGTGCAACCATCTAAAATTCCTCCATCGGTCTTGCCTTGAAGGCCTCCAAGATATCTCCAATGGTACGGGCTCAGTATATTAAACCATCAGCCATACAGGTCAACCTAGGATATGGATTTCTAATCCAGGTTTCTATAAGAGGAGCCGTTCAGACATTTGGGAAGTTGGATGCTTCCAGACTTGGGTTCTAGATCACTCTTCAGCTCAGGTAGAGGAGAAGGAGAAGGTTAGGGTTAGGGTTACAGTCCTACATTCCTCACTGGTGACGGGATGGTGTCCTTTGCTATTCCTGAGGTGGCAAGCCGGTTAAGAGGATGAAGACAATTTGGGTGACATGCACCGATGCGTCTTCTGATCAAACTTGCTGTTTCGGAGTGACGTCCCCTTTTTGCAATAGATCCAAACGATAAAGAAAATTGGGGCCGATAGATCCCAAAACCCTTGTGACACTGTTCGTAGCGGAGAAATCATTTCTTTTTCTTGTCTCTTTAAATACTGTGTTTTTCAAACATGGAACCTTTAAGGGGAGTGGACTTCAGCTCCCAGAATCCCCCATGCTGGCTGTGGAATTCTGGGAGTTGGAGTCCACACCCCTTTAAAGGGCCAACTTTGAAAAAAAAAACCAACTTTCAATAGATCAGGACTCTGGGAAGCTTTAATTAATTCTTTTCTTAGCCCATAAGTGTCTTTTTTCCTCAGGGCTCCCAGCTGGCAATATAAAAGCTCTTTTTTTTTTTTTTTTTAAATTTACAGGCTAATGCAAGCAACTGTTATTTATTTGATTATGAGTTGTTGTTCTTGTGTTTATTGCAATTTATTGCAGTGAAAGAACTGCGATGTTGTTATTTTTACTGCAATATTTTTACGGCAAACAGGTTGGAGAAAAGGGAGTCCCGTGGCAGTTTTCTGCCCTGGACAAGGAGAAATTCTACAGGTTTCCCCAGCATCTCGATCCAAGCCAAAGAGTCTGTTTTCTTCCCCTTTCATTTTTGTCCTCCTCATGGCTGCCATCATGTTACAAAAACCCACTAAGCTGTGAATGAGTCTTGTTGTCATCCTGGCCTGCTTGTGATTTGTGTGGTGTTTTATTTACCAGGGAACTGTTTACAAAACTCTTCGTCAGCCTCCTACAGTTTTTTTTCCCTCCGAGCGTGGCCCCTTTAAGAGGCGTCTGGACTTCAACTCCCAGAATTCCCCAGCCAGCAGGGAGAATTCTGGGAGTCGAAGTCCATCCCTCTTAAAGCGACCTCGCTTGAGAAATAACTGGAATAGAACTGTGTCCCGTCTCCCCCCCTCCCAAAATGGGTTTTCCCCACGCGCAGGCATTTTGTAGCAAGGCAACACAAATTGTCGCCCTGACTGCATTGGCGTAAACCAGGTTTCTGCA